ACAGATTTTTCGCGAGCCACTTTTCTTAACTGATGTTCAGAATCTCCTGATGTGGATCAGGAACATCAAAAGGGAGCCGAGCAAGTGAACTCAGAATTCCGTCCGAGTCCGCGCATATTTTGTGGTGGCGCGCCCCCTGGAAAGGTGCATGCGGGCCCCATATCCATGTGATGGCGTTGGAGATCCCGCCTCTCTGCTCGTGACACCTCATTATCGGTAGTCCACTCCCTCTCCTACTCCAGAGCGGCTCTTCCCCTGAAGAATTAGAAGCGATCACTTGCCGAAAATGTGTGAAATAGGCTAGCACCGACGGGACACACTATTCCAATCATCGCCGAATCATCTGTGTTTGGCCGTGTCGAAACTGATGGGCTGAGAGCGCGGCGGGATGATAATATCCTATTTGGCGAGGATTGTGCTGCTACTGCCAGACCTCTCCGCTTCGGACAACGATCGCCTTGTCAGTATTGCGCAGTCGTCGGACCCCCGGAACGAGCACCAGATGCACCCAGCGTCGCGAGAAGTACCTCACTACAAAGCTGCCAACACCGCACGAGGAGCACAAACAAGCGAATTTCCTGATAGTTAGTAAACAATTATGAGATTCTGCTTGAACGGATTGAAATGTGACAATTTGAAAAGCTTCAGGCATACATTACATCCATCCGCGGAAGCACGAACCGGACAAAGTTTTGGATGAGGAGTGTATTCCTATAAACGAAACTCTTCGTAAGCAGCTACTTCAGGTAACCGCGGAAGTCTCTACGTGTCATTTTGTAGACCATCTATTCCTCAGGTCTTTAGATTTGTGTCGAATGCAAATTCACTGAAGCTTTAACCTTTGAAGCATTCGCTCATTTTTTAGTAGATTTTTTTTCTGGATATCTCAGATAAGTTTTTCATATGCACTTCTTGCAAATGGTGAAATACTGCGCACTTACCCCTCTAAGCGGATTTAGGCTATGCTTCATTGCACCGAAACAAGGCTATGAGTTGTGTTCGACGAGAGCGCTACATCGCAAGCAGGAAAAGATTAGGCTATTGAACTTTCTTATATTTTAGTTGTGAAGGAGAAATTGCTAGAGATTAGTTCGACTGGACAGGCAGGAAGCTTATGTATGTAGTACTTTATGAGGTCTACGCCTAAAATTTATAATTTTCATCTGAGGGACACATTTTGATTGCAGTTCCATTGCTTGAACTCATTATTAGAAATTTTTCAGAAAAAGATTGGAATATTCAGTTAGTGCTCAAAAAGTGGCACTATCCAAAACCAAGGTGTTGAATCTATGAATCCTTCCAAGTTATCTCATTCATTGCTTTACATACCTCTATCTCTTTTTTCCATCATTCATTGATAATGCGTAGAACTTCAGGTTTTTTCTACTTCTACACCTTCACAATCATCCACTCTGCAAAAAAACGAGTGTTTCTCATCCGTTCCAGATTTATGAAGTGGTTCCAAGAGCTTGAGCAATCACGCAAAAGCAGTCCAGTTCAGTAAAAGATTCAGAAAATTGTGAGGTGAAGCTAGATGAGATAGTGACCCATTGGATTTAGAGTACTGAGGAGAAAAATGAGGATGACAGCGTGATGATTCCAAGCTATCATTTC